TGCAGCACAGGGCGCCAGCCACAGGGTGGGCGAGGGGGCTGCTTCCCCCCCGACCCGGCTCAGCTTTTCCCTGGGCCACATTTCCCCAGGCTCCTTCCCTGCCTGGGGTCCTCCCCCGCCCTTCCCCTTTACCTGCAGTTCTGGTGTGGGGTAGCCATGTGGTCCCAGGCCAGAAGCCCCCGCTGGGGCTTCCAGCTGGGGGGGCGGGGCTAGGTGGGTCCTGCTGTTGTGGGAGCCTGCTGGGCTTCTCCTGGGTCCTACTGCCCCTGGTTCCTGTCATTTTTGACAGGAACCAAGGGCAGAGAAATATTAATTTTCTAAATTTTTTTTTAGGGGTCCTGCAGGCCGGATAGCATGGCCTCATGGGCTGGATCCAGTCCACGGGCCATATTTTGCCCACCCCTGTTGTAGGGACTGCAGACTAAATTTATTTCTGGAAAAAGGGAATGCAGTAGGGGAGCTTGGTAATGTGTTTGCTCCATGGATGGAGCAGGTGTTCTAGCATCTTGGAAAAATGCTCAGGCTAAACTTTGCTGGTGGAATCAAACTATTGGTCATTTCACTTCATTCACCCACTACTATTATGCTGTCTAACTACATGATGGCCCATTCCTATATTTTTATACAATGCCAATGTAAATAATAATTTACATCCTAAATGCAGGTGGCAAAGAAATTAGAGATGGGAAAATAATTTATTACATCATGTAGTACTTCTCCCTGACATTAAGAATGGAAGGTCTCTGGCAAGAGAGAGGGGACTGAATAATAATTGTTATTATGGCCAGTAATAATCAGTTACTTCTTATAGAGCCTTTTTCATCCTTAGACCTCAAAGAACTCTCTAAGGTTTGCTAGAAATCAGTACTTGGTGTGCTACTGTCCCTTCATTCCTTGTTCTTTGTATGCATCTTCATCATGAAGCGGCACAGCTTTAGCTCTCTGAGCATCTGTTTTTACAAATTAGGCAGCTTTATTAGCTCAACTAACTTTTGTTTCCCTCTTCCTTTTTAACTGTATGTCACTTGATCTGAAAGTGGGCGTTGCAGACTTTGACCAATCCGGTGACATTCACTGTGCAGTGCTGGTTTGCTTTTCTTTCCTGCTGTAGTGTGCCAGATGCTTTCTCTTTACAGGGACCTGAGCAGAACAGCTGTTAGAAATGTGGAAGCTTTTCCAAAGAGCTGGGAAGCTGAAGAGGAAACTAAACGATTGATAAGAGTAAGTAAAAATAAAAAGAATAGAGTATAAGTCAGTCCTCTGGAAACCTTTAAATAGACCTAAAAGCAATCTGAGTTGGATTTCATTGTGTTGAGACTGTTCTAGCTGGTAGATGCTTTTGCCTGAGCGGTAAGGGAATTGGCAATTTATAAGTAGCAATTATTTACTTTATTTAAAAAGTCTTGATCTGTGCACTATTGTTTGTGTCTTGGAGGGATTATTTCACTAAGGATGGGTTTAAGTACTAAATGTAAAATGTCACCAAAGGTTCTCCCACACTAGTGAGATGCTGTGATTTTAATTTTCACCTCTGTGATTTTAGAGAGTAGTGTTCTGTATTTTGTTGTACATTTACATTTTGAGAATTTACCAATGCATTAAAAACAGTTGTTTAAAATATTGATGACACAGTCAGTTATATCTGCAAATTCTACAAGACCAAAATACTTGCTGAGTTTTAGTATTTATTACTTACACTGTTGTAGCATCTAGCCACTGTCTGCAACTAGAATACCTGCCCATAGACAAGAAATAAGGCATGCAATTTTACTGGTGAGGGTAATGACTATCACAGTGGGCGCATCTACATGTGTGCTTTAATGTGCCTATTTTACTGCACATTGAATTGTAATGTAAAAAAAGTGTGATTATGCCAATGCACAGTAAAATAAACTACTGTAGATTAAGTGTCACGTAAACCATGCACATTCATTACTGCTCATTAAGGCAGCCTAATGTTCATTTCTTTAGTACCTCACATTGGAGGTACTAAATTTAATGCATATTAGAAAAAGTGCCTTAATGCATGTGCAGACATGCCCTGTGATTCACTACCAGGGTGAATCAATCCCCTGGAGTGTCTGGAGATCCTTTCAAGCGTGCCTTGAGGTGCTGTACAATGTTAGCACTGATAAGTATGCAAACATGATTCACAAGATAAACCTGGAAGTTTATGATTTCTATTTGAAAATCATAGAAAATTGGGATTGGAAGGGCTTCTAATGGTGATCTAGTCCAATCCCCTGCCTGAAGCAGGATCGTCCCTATTCAAATCATCTTTTACAAATCCGTTGTCCATCTGTTAACAAAACGGCACAGTCAACCCTGACACACCACAAGACATAACACCCTAGCCTGCCACAGATAAAGCAAGTGCACCATAGCAGCCAATGTCCTGAATTTGTAGTGCTTAAAAAGATTTGGATCTGTTGTTCATAGATTCATAGATGTTAGGGTCAAAAGGGACCTCAATAGATCATCGAGTCCGACCCCCTGCATAGGCAGGAA